AACCACAATTACCGACCCAAACATAGCACAATATTCTGTACATCAAAACAACACATTCCTATTCACCATTCTTACTACATTCACCATAATACCGCAGAGTCTCTATGAAGTCTGAACTAGTCCCTGTATGTACAATTTTTTGTTTGTGGGCAGGGAATAAAAATGATAATTTGAAATCTAACCCAAGGAGGAAACTTCATCTGAACAATTACCATGAAAGCATTTATAGAAAAGGCAGAAGGAAGCTATGTTACAGCCGTTGGAAAGTGACTGAAGCTAAGATGCCAGGTCAGGACAAATGACATTGCAGATTCTTTGGATTTTATCAAGGATCTCTAAATATATAGCAGGCACACCAGACCAGATGTGGCAGCAATATTCAAAGCTTGGACAAACAGTATTTGATCGATTTTAACATCTTTAATTTTGGGCTCGCATCTTGGGCTTTTTCTCTTGCTGACAACCAGACATGGTTTTCTTCTAGTTGATGGTTAGTCCTTTCTTCTTGCTTTCCTTCACTATGTTGTCTGTAAGATCCTGTAGTTTTACATCTGTGCCTGCCATCAACACAGTGTCACCTGCATATCCTATAGTGCTAAGATAGTAACATGGCGATTCTCAACTGCCATGCCTCTTAACCATGCTATGAAATATTGTCACAGCATATATATATATATATATATATATATATATATATATATATGTGTGTGTGTGTGTGTGTAAGTAGTAATTGTACAGTGTTAGTAATTGAATAAATTAATAAGTATTAAAACATTTTTTTTCAAATAATTCTTTTCCTATTTTTCAATTATGTTATTTTAAATACTTTGTTTTAATATTCATTTATTAAAAAATATTTTTATCTTAAATTCTTAAAATTTTCTATTAATAAAATAAAAAATTTCCTTGAATAAATGAATATTATCCTTTTTTTCATATAAATTGTATTCAGCATTCTTTGTTTAATTCAAAATTTTTACAAAGTTTATATATATATATATATATATATATATATATATAGTCATTGATACATTTTGGGTTTCAATACAAAAGGAATATCCCACATTATTAAAAAAGGCTTTAACAGTTTTATTCCAATTTTCTACTTCTTATTTAGATGAATTAGGCTTCTAAACCCTAAATAACATCAAAAATAAGAAGCGAGAAAGACTATGCTCAAATGAAGAAGAAATGAGGGTCTGCTTATCACACATTTGACCAAACATTGAAGAAATTGCGGAAAAAAAAACCCCCAAAAAACACCAGGCAGATTTTACACTAAATAAACCGCACAAATAGTTGAAGAGAAATGTTGAAATAAAATAAGTTCATATTTGAGTTTGTATTTTTTTTTTTTTTTAAAATCGATGGTTTTATTTCATAACATTTAAATGTATATCCTTTAAAAGTTTTGCTAAGTATGTCGTGATATTTTCATTTGCTCCTAGGTGTGCTGCTTTTTAAAAAGATTGAAAAACACTGTTGTAATGTTATACACTGCTGGGACATATCTACAGAAAATAGAATCTATGGCAGTTATGCTTCTGTCCAAACATTTGACATGATGACAACCAACTTAGAGATAAATTTACCATAATATCAGCTCAAAAATGCAAGTCACATTCGTTTTATCTTTTAATTAACAAATTATGTTACTAACATGACAATGACAACTGCATCTTTTTTTTTCACTAAATGAAAATTAGTCTGTCTATATTTCTGAGATGAGGTATTATGTACATTATTTACATTATTCGGACTATTGTCCTCATCTTTGTCACCATATTTATTACGTTTCAGCAATTGTATGCTCCAGCCTTTATTTCGCTCACTGGGGTAGACTGTTCTAGTTCCACGTGCCATGTTTAATGCATGTCAGTTATCAGTTATCTCCTGTTCATTCCCCTCTGAAAGTTCTCCACTGTCTTAACCTGGTATTGAACTCACACTGTTTGGGTCCTGTCATTGGATCTAACTAACACCTTTATCCACTGTGTCATTGAAGAAGGCCGGAGCGTACATTGGCCGAAATGTCGTAATAAATATGGCAACAAGGATGAGGACAATAGACCGAAAAATGTAAATAATGAAAATTAGTCTGTGCTAATATTCCAGTTGATTCTCTTTTTCCACACAGTAAAACATGACAATAGTCAGCCTTGACGTTTGAAGTTTTACTTAATTATTTATGAGATAGCAATACATAAAGTTTTATCTATCAAGAACAATTTGTGGGAAGAGACATTACAAAGTGGGAAAAGTCTTTTGAACCGGAATAGTTGCTTAATACCTTATTCCTTTTAAGTTTGGGTTTTCAGTTTCTTTTAAAGTCTTCTCATTATCTTTTACTCAAACTAGCTTCTTGCTTTTCAGTGGCATTATCACCTTCTTTGGAGTTAACTGAGATATCACCAAGGCCCGCTGGCACAGTTGACACATATCTGGGACTCATTAGCAGTGCGCATACACTACCGAGAATTGAAACCTGATATCGAGTCTAATTTTTTACCTCTTCATTACCGAGGCCCACTGGCACAGTTGCTATGGTGTTTACCTCTCATCGTAACTGTTTGGGTTTCAATTCTCGGTAGTGATTGCCCACTGCTGATGAGTCCCAAATATAGGATGAAACAGCTGTTCAGTGCTTTCTGCATTCTGTTGAGGTTTCTTCTAGACTCGATGAATTATGATTATTTCAAATCCTCCTAATTATATATATTATAAAATATGACCTATTTGCCACTCTTCAACACCTCACAGATAAAAATTACAAGCTTGCTGTTACTCTATCACTATTTCCACGGCAAATGCTCCATTCTTTAGTTCTGTCAGTTCAGACCTCTACAGTTAAGACACACCATGCCGCTTCCACAGAGATGAATCAGCCCCATTTACTCTGTGCTCCAAATATGAGAAAGTTGTATTCAGCTTTCTCTCCAAGAATACTGTGTAACAGACTCACACCTCTAATAACTTCAATCTTAAGCCCTTCAAGTCAAGGGTCAATCACTATCTATCCTCCCTATTCTCATAATCTTCACTTCCTACCACCTATTCTTTCATTCATATCACACACCTCAATCATCATTACCATTTTAACAGTAACACTCTACCTTGAGTGGCTCTAGAGCCTTTTATTGAGTGAAATTTATTAAAGAAAATAATTTAATTCAGTAAATACACAAAAATAGAAAGAGGTATAAGACAAGGAGGTTCCTTATGATGGATTTATTTATCTTTTACAGTGAGGCGATTCTGAGAGAATTAAAAATTTTACTGTAACAGAGAATCAGGTCAGACTGATAAACGACTGAGTTGGTTGTATGTGGTGCTGTAAGCCCCAGGAGTGGCATCCTCTTCAGCAATGGGTTGTTGAGAGAAGACCTTCTAATTAGAGTGGATAGCACTGACTATTTGCATATGAATGATACTGGGCCAGTATTAGCCAATAATCAGTGTGAGTTGGACGAGGAGAGCTATATTACACCCCCCACCTTTTTTTTTTTTTTTTTTTTTTTTTTAGTTGTGAGGGAGCGCTCTCAATGTGCAGACGTGTGAAAAACCAGACAAGATAGACACAATAACTCTGGAAGTAAACAATTTTTTTTTTACTGCCTGGTCAGGTAAAATAATTTGAGAAAGTAGTCCACTCTTATGCTTGCTCATCCATTAATCCTCACATTAGGCCAGTTATGGGCAAACTGCTGCTCACAGGCTACATGTGGCCCATTTGGCTTTCTGAATAACTAATGAGGAAAATAATATTTCTGAAAATCTTTTGTTTCATTCTCACTTGTTCACTCATGCTCTCTCATACATAACCACATTTCCTTGGGTTTTTAAGACTTTCATTCAAGGTAAAATAGCTAAAACCTACTGCACTTCATAAAATTGTCATAATAGAACTTAAATTGTTCACTGTAGTTTTCCTTCAAAGTAAATGAAGGTTTTATTTGGTGGCACAATGATTTGGTTATAATGTGCTTGTACCTTGCTTCCGTGGTGGAGATGGATAGCAACAACACTGAGGATGAAGTACCTCCCCTGCAAAGGAGCACCAGAAGAAAACACCCACCCAATGCATGTTGGTGCTGTGATCAGGAGATGAGTTGGGAGTGTAACAGAGAATTGGGTCAGCCCAAGAAATGACTCCGAGTTGGTTGTATGTGGTTCTGTAAGCACCAAGATTTACATCCTCTTCCACAATAGGCCATTGAGAGAAGACCTTCTACTTAAAGTAGGTGGCATTGACTATTTGGAGATGAATGATACTGGTCAGGGATTCGCCAATAGTTAGTGTGGGTCAGGGACTGGGAGAGCTATATAACAACAGTTTTTTTTTTCAGTTGAAAGAAACTCTCAATGTGCGAACATGCAAAAACCAGACAAGACAAACATTTATCAGGATTCATTTCTGGTCACAACATTAATTTTAATACAAGATATGCAGACAACACTGTATTGATAACAGATGCAGAAAAGTAACTACTGCAGAAGGTAGTAAAAGAAAATGAGACAAAAGATTGTAAGAAGATAGACTCAAAAGCTGTCAGAAAAAAGAAAAGTGCCTTCCCAAAGCTGAGCAAACTATAAAGAAACAGGAAGATTTTGTTAGAAACAAAGAAAAGAGTACTGAACTGTTACATAATATCAGTCATTCTATATGGCAGTGAATGCTGGATTACCTCTGCACAGATGAAGAAGTGACTTGAAGCAACAGAAACAAAGAAAAGAATACTGAACTGTTATGTAGTATCAGTCCTCCTATATGGCAGTGAATACTGGACAATCTCCTCACAGATAAAGAGACTTGAAGCAACAGAAACAAAGAAAAGAGTACTGAACTGTTATGTAGTATCATTCCTTCTATATGGCAGTGAATGCTGGATTATCTCTGCACAGACAGACAAAGAGAATTAAAGCAACAGAAATGTGATTATACAGAAGGGACCAACTTCCAATTCCAAGTTATTATCCATTACCCCACCCACACATGCAAGATTACAGCACCTGGTATTCTCAAGTTGTCAACCATCTAGGTACTAACCAGGCTTAATGTCACTTAACTTTGGTGATTGTATGAGAAACAGTGTTTCAATGTGATATGGCCATAAGCCTACAGGATATATTGAAAGAAACAGTGAGTAAACTATGTAATGAGTATGCGAACAGATGGCAGAAGAAAGAGAGATAATTAAGAGTCAAAACTTAATTAGAGGAAAAAAAAAAAAAGACAGGAAATTGTGGAGAGCCATGATCACCCATACCATAAAGGAACAAGATAAGTAAAAGAAAAGTCTAAATGTATTAAAAATAGGAGATGAATTATTTCATGACATCCACTGGTCAGGCAAAATGGACAATCTGGCAGTGGTTTGGAATAAAGAGTGCTTGAAAATAAATGGTCAACATATTTAAGCATTGAGATAGTGGTTTAATTTATGTGTCATTGAATGGATAATGTTGCTAAACATGAGACAACATATCTTACATGATTTCAAATACACAGAGCAATGGAGAAGTGAGCTAATTATCCCTCTGCTAGGTTAGAGTATGACTTTGAGCAAATCTTAATATTGTTAGAAACAAAAACAAAAAAAAAAGAAAAAGAAAAAAAATGAGTACTGAACTATTACATAATATTGGTGATCCTATATGGCAGTGAACGTTGGACAATCTCCTCACAGATGAAGAGACCTGAAGTAATAGAAATATGGTTCTACAGAAAGATGCTGAGAATTCTATGGATTGAACATTTCAATAACACAAACATTTTAGAAAAAATGGAAACAAAGGATTACATTACAATGGTGGGGAAGTCATGAAGTACGATTTATTAAATAAATGTCAACAACTTTTCTTTTTAAAATCATTTCACCCCAAGCAAGGCAATAAAGCCACTAGGATGCAAGGGGTTACTCAATGTTAGGGAATATGAGAAAAACTACTATTCAGGAGAAAGAACAATAAACCAACAGGAATTAAGAAGACAGAAGATAGTGATTGACATTGCATTTAAATTTTTGAAGATCAAAGGCAATAAAGCCACTAGGATGCAAGGGGTTACTGAGTGTTACAGAATATGAGAAAAACCACTATTAAGGAGAATAGACAATAAAACAACAGGAATTTAAGATTTTGAAGATCAAATTTGACTTAGAAGTAAGGAACCAGAAGAGTTTCACAAGCAAGAAGTGCAATAGAAGAAACTGTTAGCATAGAACTTACGGTTACATATAGCCATTTAAACTACCTGAATTCTTAAAGTCTATGTGCCATAGAGGAAAGTTCATTAGAACAATTACCATGAAAGTATTTATAGAAAAGGCAAAGGAAAGCTATCTTATGGTTATGGGAAAGGGAACGAAACCGAGATGTTAGGTCAGGACCAATAACATTGCAGATTCGTCTTTGGATTTTATCAAATATCTCTAAATACATACCATGCACATACTACAGTGCATAATGAGGAAAAAGGGCTTGAAGATTTTGACACTCACATGATATATGAAGAGAAGAGAGACAAATAACCTACCTCATCAGATTATGCAAATGGGTGACAGAGCAGGGTTGAGTAGTAATAACAAATAGACAAGCCTATGAACAACAAAGGGTAGGAAGTTGGGAAGAGCCATGGTCATGGAATTTGGGTGGGGTGTCATACGTCATCAAATGGCATGCAGAGAAAACATAATTGCAGCTGTCTTGCCAATATAAATGATGACAACAACAACACACCTAAGTCACAGGATCATGGGAATGGATCTCAGGTTGGGTTTCGTTTAATAATGCCAGAACATAATTTGCAGCTAATTTGAAATAATTAGTTTGACCGAATTAAGTGCTGGCTTAATTACAATGGTACATCAATAAGTTCCTAGCGGGACTCATTACCTGAATTTTGATCTAAAATGTTCACTATATCATGTTTGATCAATGTTTTTTTTCTCTTTCTTTCTTACACTTATGTTCAAGCTATGCAAGGCTCAGGAGCCACTCAAGGTAGAGGGTTACTAAAAGAGGTTATTGCATGAGCGCTAAGACTAAAAAGCACAGTTTATGAGGTTATGTGGGAAAGATAATAGTTCACTCTAGATTTGAAGCAGTTAAAGTTGTAGTGATTGGGAAAGCATCACCCTGGGTGTCAATTCCACAAAGTAGTGCTTTGTGAGAAGCTTTTCAAGTGGAACTTCCTTCTTACTAATGGAATATAATGGTTTGCCTCAGTGTACAGGACATAGAAGGTCTTAGCTGTGAAGATTAGAACTGGTGGAAGTAATGACTACTTTGCATGGAAATAGCAACAGAGTAATGAGGGACTTGCAACCTTTTGTCTTTGGGGGAAAGTGGTGGTAGTGTGGAAAATAACTTATCACCCACAAGGCCACATAGATGCCTTTGAAATTTATCGAGTATAGAAAGAGAAGATGTGATTAATCTAGAAGTATTGATGATTCTAGTAAAGGCATGAATCCACTGCTGCCTGTGCTCTTTCCCATAGCCAGATATCTTAACACAAGTAGTATGCCTTAATGGACGATGCACAGATTTTTGTGTTAATAAACACCTAGATGGTAGTAAATGCTGTTACATTCATTAACAAACTTAAGAAGGACTAGGCATGGCTCTCCACAACTTTCCTAGATTGAATATCACAGCTACAATCCAAGACAATATATTTTATTTATACTTAAAGCTGGTTACTTATTAACATCTGAAGTTTCTACTTTAAGTTAGTCACATTAAGGATTTCTGACACAATGGTGTGGTTTTAGGGAGCAAAAGAAATTTGTTTCTCTTTCTTTGTGACATGCTTCTTGCTTTCTTTCTCTTTCACTGTGCTTCGTTCGGCCGGCAGACCAGCCATCAAGTTGCTTGATACTTGACCAAGTCTTTTTTGTCCCAGCTGATTCCTCATTGGCTCATATAGTCACTTTTCTACCCTGTGTTTGTCTTGCCTAGTTTTCACATGTCCACATTTTGAGAGTGCTCTTCTCAACTGAAAAAAACACTGGTGTTATATAGCTCTCCCAGTTCCAGACCCCCACACTGACTATTGGCTAATACCTGCCCAATATCATTCACATGCAAACAGGCAGTGCCATCTACTCTAAGTAGAATGTCTTCACGTAACAGCGCATTGTAGAAGGGGACACAACTCCTGGTGCTTACCGGGCTGACATACCCACAATTCCCTGTTTTTTTTTTTTTCACCATCCATTATAATTTCTAGTAAGACAGGTAGCATCTATTACAATAATTCTTTTAGAAATGGGTCTCTGCCTGTGTGGAGGAGAACAGCCACTTATTCAATTGGGTTGTAAATGATACATCATGAAGTGGAGATTAGTAGAGTAGAAGGAGAGAGCTGGTAGTCAGAGAAGAGTCTGTATCCGTCCGTTGAGATGTGGAGAGTTACGGAAGTAGTCACAGTTAGAAATTTAGAAACCCTCTGAGGTCTGGCTGTTTGAAGGGGAACATCTGGTCCATTTGTATATCAGGAGAAAAGACAGAAATAGCAGTGAAGATGTCTCAATTGTCAGCCACCTACCCAGAAAGAAAGTGCTAGGTCCGACTCAAAAAACCAAAAAAATAAACAGCAGCCAACAAATAAAGAGCTTGGTAGATTAAAAACAGAATTAATGTTTTCTTTTCTTGGCATGCCGATATTTCACCTTCTGTTTCTTAACAGGCACCAGACCATTTTCAGTTTTTGTTCACACCGACACAAATGGCAATTGAACCATTGCATGGAGCAGAAACTAACCAGTCATAAAAAAAAAAAATTATTTTTTTCTGGGCTGTCATTTTATGATACTCACGAAGCAACCACTCACTGTCCATAAATAAGGAACAATAAATAAATAATGATACAGTGAAGTAATGGATAGCAGCTCAGATTGAGGAATCGGAGAGCCGAGTTCAAATTTCATTCAAATCCATTACATTCACTTTCATGCTAATACCCTTGGGAAAGGTATGAATCCTCTTCTACCCCCACTAGCTATGGGTAAATAGCAAGACAGACCGGGTTCTATAGCCTTGGATGGCAACTTGTCTACTGCTGAAAGAAATGGCAACCTACTGCAGGGAAAAAAAATCTGCCTCATCAGTCATGTATCAAAAGATACATGATTGCCTAAGCATGTATCACGCATGGTACATAACTGACTGACTGACTTTCCAGTCGAATCTATTACATTTACTTATGTTCTAATACCACTGGGGAAAGGTATGAATCCTTGTCTTCTCCCCAAAACTATGGGTAAATAGCAGAACAGACCTGGTTCTATAATCTTGGATGGCAACTGGTCTACCGCAGAAGGAAATGGCAACCTACTGCAGGAAAAAAAAACTGCCTCGTCAGTCATGTATCAAAAGATACATGATCACCTAAGTGTGTATCATGCATGACACATAACTGACTGAAATAAATAATTGTTTCAGGACCAAGTGCCACTTTGCCGGAAGGTAGGGAATTCCATTTGTGGGCTTATATTGGTCAGTTACAAGCCTTCCATTGAGATGTAGAGATGGACAGTGATGCTATCTGAGATGGATAGAGAGACAGTCGGACTACTTGTTAGCTGAAGGGAAGACCTGATCCATTAATCTGTTGTGAGAGAAGACAGAAGTAGCAGAAATTTTACCTCAGTTAATAGATCCTTTCTCCCATGCCAGTAACCACTATGCCACCTTTACATGCATTGGCATAAGAAAAAGAGCTGGAAAATTCTTGTCCTGACCAAAGACAATGAAGAAGATTAGGGTTTCTCAACCTTTTTTTTTTTTTTTTTTTTTTTTACTTCTGGGCACACTTATAGAATAACAAACTCTGGGGTGTACTTTAAATTTTAACAAGGAAAAATTAGTCAGGAAATTTGAAAATAGGAAAATAATAAAGAAATTTCCTAAAATAAGCATTTATTTAAGACATTGCATTCTACTAGTTTTAACCTGTAAAAATTTCATGGTATTCGTATTCTGATGCTTCCTAATTCTTAACTAAATGATTGAAGAAAATCATGATGAGTTCTACGACAAGAAAAGATCTATAGAAATTCCCCTAGTGCATCGTTAAATATTTGAGCTTAACAACTTTAATAAAATACTA